AGTTCTTTTAGAACCCTTGGATGAATGCTATCCGGTCCCGGAGATTTGTTAACATTACGTTTTTCTATTTGTTCCAAAACCTCCTCTAATGACACTTCAATCTGGGACAGTTCCTCAGATTCATCACCCACAAAGGACGGTGCAGATTTGGGAATCTCACTAATGTCTTCGGCTGTGAAGACCGAAGCAAAGAAATCATTTAGTTTCTCCGCAATGGCTTTATCGTCCTTGATTGCTCCTTTTATATCTCGATTGTCTAGGGGACCCACAGGTTTTTTAGCAGGCTTCCTGCTTCTAATGTACTTAAAAAACATTTTGGTATTTCTTTTTGAGTTTTTGGCTAGCTGTTCCTCAACATCTTTTTTTGCTTTTCTTATTACATGTTTACACTTGATTTGACAGTGTTTATGTTCCTTTCTATTTATCTCACTAGGATTGGACTTCCACTTCTTAAAAGATACCTTTTTGTCCCTCACTGCTTCTTTTACATGGTGGTTAAGCCACGGTGACTCTTTTTTAGGTCTCTTGCTATGTTTTTTAATTTGGAGTATACATTTAAGTTGGGCCTCTATGTAATTCTTCTTTTTAGCATTTGTGAGGCCGGATGAAAACCACAGGTAGCCTGACAACCTACCTACCTAATGCTATATCTAATCTGTTGTACTCAATGGACGGTGATACACCAACACGCTAATTGACAAGATTTTTTCCCTTCTTTTTCCCGCCCTAGCCTCTTTTTTTCTGCTATTTATTTGTACCTCTGGACCCCTTGCTCCATTCATCTGAAGAAGTGTATTGTGCCCAGGAAAACTCATGATACCAGCTACATTTTTTGTTAATCTCTGAGGTGCTGTAGAACCATTTGTTGTTTTTTAAGCTTTTTCAGTTACAGACTAACACGGCTACCCCTCTGAGACTGATAAAAATAAAGGACAATTTGATAGGCTGTTATGTTTGCAGACCAATTATTCTACTTTCTATACACTGTTTATTTCTATACAAAATACTGTGGATATGGAAGATTCAAAATAGGAAACAGCCGCACGTTTTTATTCCTTTGTAGCCTACTAAAGTGATTACCAGGCACAAGAATATACCTGTTGGAAGGCCTGAATCCTCCTATACTCTGACTATGTCGTAGGGATGTCAATGTGTAGTTGACTATACAATTAAATGATAAGTCTAGGCTTATCGGTTAATCTTCTCGACTACACGCCTTCTGCCCTCCCTTTGCTTCCTCTGTATCAGAGGCAACAAAGGGGGGGGAACCAGGAACCAGTGCTTCCTAGTGCCACCTGTTCCCCCATGTGCAGCTGCCTCTCTCAGAGGCAGCGGGGGAGGGACAGGGGAGGCTGCCACAGAACAGCCTTTGTCCGCAGCGGGTCTGAGTGTCCCCCAGGCAGAGGCTGCTCCATATCCCGCAGACCAACCTCTGTCCATGGGGAGCTTGGGCCCCCCCACAGACAAGGGCTGCTGCCACCTCATGCTGCTGCCTCTGTATCAGAGGCAGCGGTGCGGCGTAGCAGGTAGCTGGTCTGTGCAGGGGGCTGGTTTTTAAACTGGCTCCCTTCGCGGATTGACTTCTCCTGCCACCCTGCGCTGCTGCCTCTGATACACCATGACCCGAACACTATCACATGAACACAAACAAATGCAAAGACCATTTCATAATTACTGATTGGCTCAAGAATGCACAGAAATGCACGTACATCTGGCTGCTCTTTAGAGATCGCTTTTAACCAGAAATGGCTAACTGTGCTCTAGAACCCCATTCAGATGGGCACACACCTAACAACAAACTCAGACTGCCTACAACAGGGTCCTGCATTCAACACAAGTGCTGTTTCTCATACTTACCTACAGACGCTGGCATTTCCCCCCACTGGAGAACAGTTTCCTTTGTGAAGTGCCCATATATATCAATGTAAACTCCTTCATCTTCGTAGGTGAGTAGGAGTTCCGTTCCATTGGTGTTGGGGAGGATGACAATGGCATGAGGGTGAATAGTCCCTTGGATCTGAAATAACGTTTTATTAAGATTTATATCAGGACACGGACTGCAATTTTAGTGACTATATCAATCTACATAGCTTGGCAGAGCAATAAAAAGAACAGACTCGCAGCTCACAGCAAGGAAATACCCGCTTTAAGATAGGCTGTATATTTTCTTAGCTAACCTCTGAAAAGGGCTATTATTTCCCTCACTTTTAGATATTACTGTACTAGGTTTGTATAAAAGTCACTGTTCAATTTTTCACGTTATATTTACAAGCATTACTTGGTATAAAGAAACCAAGAAGCATCTAGATAGGAGATTTACTGCCTTGTTCATGAAATGTTGGCATATAAAGTGACAGAAGGAATGTGAGCTGTACTTTAATTCAAAGATGATTTTAGAAGAGGATGGGAGATAACTTACTCGACGTCCCTGTTTTAGCAACTTAATGCTCCCATGAAGGCAGGGGTGGGGAACCTTTTTTGGGTCGGGGACAACGACCCACAGAAACATCAGTTGGCGGCTGCACACAGGTGAGAAAAAAAAACAACTCCTCACCAGCCTGGGCTCTCCAATGCTGGGGGGAGCCCCGAGTATCAGCGGCCAGATCCAGGCAAGCCAGGGCTGCATCTGGCCCTGGGCCTCGGGTTTCCTCACCCCTGCATTAAGGAATACTGACCTAGCATAACTCATGAGCTAAATCAATGATTCATTAGCACTTCTGATGAACAATATTTATGGTAGTTTGAAAGAATCACCTGAGCTTTCTAAACGCGAACATATATTCAAGATTTCCCCCTGCTTCTCATGCACTGTCCTTAAACACAGAAAGTGCTACTTTTAATACTATTGGGTTTACATTTTACACCCACAATACTGAAATGATAAATTGCATGCGATAAAATATTCATACAGTGGTATGGGACGCAGATATTCTCTCTCGCAACAGCCAACACACTTGCCAAGTGAGGAAGGATTTATACGAAGCATATAACCGTGGAAGTGGGTTTTATGGAAAGTACTTTCAGACAAAACACAAAATGATAACTAAGCATTTCTAAAAACACTAACAGGGTCTTTTTTTTTTTAAACTAAACAATGAAATATCCTTGCAAGCAGCATTTTCACAGGAAGGGACAGACAAGTGCAGCATCATTTTTCACAAGCCAATAACACACTTATCTTTCTTTCTCAACCCCATACATTTATACACGCTGCAACGCCACGACAAACAGAAAAGAAGCACGGAAGCTGTACTTGCCGAACTGAATACACTCAGGCCAACCACTTGAGTCCGTGTCTCCGCAACTACTATCCGTAAGACTAACACAGGTATCCAGAGTCGGAGAGCAATTTTAATGCGTTGCCTTGGTATTCTCATGAGCAATTGAAGCAGAGGCGAGAGAGAGAAGGAACAGGGAGAAGAGGGCACAGAAAGCAAGCGTGTCTCAATTCAGTCTGTAAGATTAAAGTAAGTCTGTGCTGCCAACACTAAAAAACCTCCTTGTGATAATTATCATCTATCAGACAGTCCCTAAAATAACAAAATACACCAACAGATACAGCCCACAGTAGCAGCACATTTATTTCCGACCCAACACTCTTAAGGGAAAACGTATTTTTAGCACAGGCTGACTTATGGTGGGAGAGAGCACACAAATGGAGTAACAGCTCTTCTACACGTGCCCCATAAGCAGGGCATTCACCTGGGAAATCTCTTTCCTGATGTACATCATTATAGCTAGCACATGTTGCAAAGATGAATCCTTGAAAAGGATTCACCTCTTCTCTTGCATTTCATCTACTGTGCTAATTATGCTAATTAGCTCTTTGACAAGAAATCATTTGCCATGCTTAGCCACCAAATTAAACATATGGTGGGCAGGGACACCTGCTTAGACTCATAAACGAGTGTTAACTTTGAACGGAGCCAGAATCAGTGAAGCTTATAGCTGTTTGATAAACGAAACCATCCTGTAACACATATATAGAAACAATAACATGAGCCTTTCGCAAGTGGATCAATAGAAATCATTTTCAATTCGATACGTACATTAGTTACATTTTAATGTAAATGAGTTTAACATCACTGTGGCTAGTAGAATTATGGCACTGCCATAGTTTGGTGGATGCTGCTTGTTTGGGTGCCTAGGCATTGGGCTGAATTCAGCTGGGTTTCCAGAGATAAGATGCCATAGGGGCGGGTTTCTCTGTATTGTAAAATGGGGTGTGCATGACATATAAAAAGAGGAAAAAATTCGGAGCACGGACTATTACGTTTAGCTCTGGAATCCGAGTTCTCCAAAGTGAATGGGATTTGTTTTGGCCCATTATGTAGTTCATTCCCAGTCCTGCACAGAAATCCATAATCATAGGCCTGTCTCTGCAGAGTCCTACTGTGTGGCGCTTCTACAATGTTTGAACACTAACATTTTGTCAGCTAGCCTAGGACGTGTTCTCTAGATCCAGATCTAATCACCATTCACTTACGGCCCTCAGGAATAAATAAAGAAACGACTGAATGATTGCAGCTTTAGGAAGTAACATCTTACATGAGTTGGCAAGTACAGGTCATACACAGACCCAGAGTCCACATCGATAGCGTGAAATCCCACTAGCGAGCCATAGATCACTTTTAATCTTTGTCCATTTTCAACTGTCAGATCAACTGACAATGGTTTGTGATGAAGCGAAGTGAATGACTGGGAAGAGAAAAGTCAGATACAATTATAAGCACATTACGAATACAGTAACTGCTGACTGAGTTTTACACATTTACAACTATGATCTTTTTCAATTGTTACCAAAACTCAAAACCCCGGCTGATTAAATGTATGATTTATCCCATTTACACTACAGCCCTTTTTCCTTTGTCACCATGGAATCTTATTATCCTTTTCCCACCTAAAGCTGCAAGTGCAAAACAACAGCAGAGGAAGATGTGAGGATAAACACACCCAGACCTCAAAAGATACTGCAGCTGTTAAAATATTCATAGGCAGCACTTGATATCCTGACCCTGTGTTGTTATAAATTAGTACAGTCAGTGATATATTAATTCTATACTGAAGACAAAGGAATTACTATTTCTAATGTATCTTGTGAAAAGCCAGTTTACTGACAATACATAACTACACCAGACACAGGGTCAAATTCTCTACTCAGTTATACTTGTAATCCATGTGATTCTATAACTAAGGGCAGAATTTGGCTTTATAGCTAATATCTGCTTATCTAATGCAGGTGATTAATCTCACTTCAGTCTGCTGCATAAATCAAACAAAATTTGGTCCATTATCTGAGCCATGCCATCCTCCAGTACTTCAGCATTCTTGTTTCATTTCTCTATTAATCAAAGATCTGCATTTGTGGTTTCCTGGCTCAGAGGAAACTTCTGCTGCAGCCAACTTTCTACTGTTTATTTTTGTATTACTCCCCCAGATTGGATGAAATCCAAGTTTGTTCAGCCTCTGTCACAATTATCTCTAGTTCAAGGAAAGGTTTAGATGTTACTTCTCTCATACGTGAAAATTTTGTAACCCTGAAGCTGAATTATACAGTTGTGCATGGTAGCCAGCAGTCATATTTCTGGGCTCAATGTAATTAATTTAGGTTGACATCTCCAGAACTGCTCAGCACTGACTGTATTCTGCTCCTTCTTATTGACTTCAAGGTTGAGATTTTAGGATTGAAGAACCCTAAGGAAATCAGGTCTCCTATTGACTTGCATAAAGTGCTGAATTCCTTTTGGTGATCTAACCCCTGAACCTTCCTGCCCCCTGATTTTTAAAGGGTATTAGATCAATACTGAGAACATCTGAAAAACCAATTCTTAGGCATTTCCTTTCCCCCTTACTTTTGGCACAGTTCATTTCCTTATGTGTCCAAACACATGTTTTAGACAAGACATTGCAAAAAATGGTTGATTGGTAGCAAAAGCATATCTGCAATGTTTAAGAAACAATCTGACACGTGGCATTTGCATGGTGAGCATGGCACGCCCCCCAGTTTGGGAACCCATGATCTAAATAAAAAAAGTTCACTCATTCACTCCTAAATTAAATAAACGTTACACAAAGCAACAAGGAGCAAGCAGTGGGGAATAAAGCAGTGGGTGTTTCAGATACAGCTAAACCAAGATGAGGTCTGTCTTACCTTAAAAGCCATAAATTTGTGATAGGGCTTTGGAGCCCAAGCGTACACCTCCACGGAACTTTTCAAAGCAATAACAAGAAATTTGATTCTCTCATATTTCACTATAATACAAAAGGAACAGTTATTTAGGTTTCAGGTGGGCCCATATGAATCAAAGACACTTCAAGTTCAGAATCTGATGCCCTCAATCACACCCAATAATTTCAATTGGACTGTTTTTGGAGTAAGTTACTGTTCACTGAGTAATGGTGTTAGAAGTTGGTCTTTGATATAAAACACTAGGAAAGACTCTCTTTTACTTTGCACCTATAGTTCAATGACTTTCAATTTCACAGCCAATGCTTGATATTATTAATATTTATAATCTATTTATCACCCAAATGTGTGCTCGCTAACTTATACACAATCAAGATAGGTCAGTGCCCTAAAAAGGTCCTGTTCTTGCAAGCACTTTTGCATGTGATTAAGTTACTCGCATACACAACTGTATACAAAGTTGGGGCCTATGCAGTCACTATGCAGACACAAGAGAGGAAAGAAGCAATCCAAAAATTATGGTTTTATGGAGGTCTAAACTTGGTCCTATGCCATTATCTGCTGTTCAAAATTCTTCACAAAAGTGGTATTTGAAAGTTGGGTAAACTGAGGTACAGAAATGCCTGTGCAGTTTTTACAATCAATTTGTTAATAGCGTTCGGTGAGTAGAAATCAAAGGGTATGTCTACACTACCCCCCTAGTTCGAACTAGGGGGGTAGTGTAGACATACCCAAAGCTATTTAACTCAATGTATACATGTCACAAGGTAATCTTCTGTTCCTGGATTGTACAAGAAACTCTAAAGTCAGATTTCTGGCAGGAATCCTTGATAGCTATAATAGTAATTCCTTGCCGATTATTGGAGTCATTCCGCTACTTTCAATGGGCACTGAACTTGGCCGTTATATAGCACCTTTATTGTACAAATCTCAAAACACTATACAAAAATTAATGAATTAGCCTTCACACTGACCCTCTCAACTAAGCAAGTATATTATCCCCATTCTCAGAGGTGCTCAAGGCTCTATTTTTGCTTTATGGCTATGGCCATAGAACCCATCACCACTTCTGTACGCTTTGGGTTATGTTTCTTGGCTTAGCGCTGGTATTGCAGAAGTGCCTGGAGGCTCCAGGCCCATCTTGCGAGGTGCTGCACAAACACATAACAAAAAGCCTGTCATGATGGTCTCAATCATCCACTTTTGCCAATCCACTTTTGTTTCTCCCCAGCGAGATGGTCTCAAATGGCTGCTAGCAGCTGGGGAAATCAGACAAACAGCTGTGCAAACTTCTCCATAGACAATTGCTTTCTGAAAGGATTTGCTGTCGAACAACAAACCCCCAACTGGCAGTAGTGAGTGAGGGTATCAAGCACATGTTTGAGTCTCTTCTAAGGTACCAAAGGAGGGACAGTGGTTTGCGGAATTCCTTCGCAGAGCTCTAAGGTTTTATTCTCCTCGCAGCGTGCATGTCGGCAATTAAATCCCCAAGTGGCAATGGCCTCCCTACGTATCACGCTCCATGAGCATTTCAGAGACGAGCAATTTATTTGAGTTAGTTAAACTCACGTTGGGATATGAACAGTAAATGCAAAGCTGTGCACTGAAAACTAAGGCTTTTTTAAAAAATTTGGGCCTGTTTTATTTTAATTCTGCCAGAGCTGAGCATTTTCCTCAGAAATAGAACAGACCACCAGGGTGTTGCGTTGCTACACACTTCTGCCTCATTTTACATTCAGTGTCTGTGGGGCAAAGCACTACCAGGTTCTTGGGGGGAAAAAAAAGAGGCAGGTGTTACACAAGTTAGCGAAGGATCATTTCTGTGGGAGTAAGGATGTGCTCAGCACATGCTGCTCGAACAGGACAGTGTTGCATTTGTACAACACAGAATGGCAGCTCGGTGAAGGGGCAGGCTTGGATGAGGATAGTATATAGATGGGAAAGGCCAAGCGAGGTAGAGATAATAAAAACCAGCCTTTTCTGACTTTTTACAGGGAACGTGAACATAAGGGCAAAGGTCAGAAAACACAAGGATTTGCAAATAGTGAAATAATAGTTGCTGCTCATCCAAAGTAGCAAACCAATAGAGAAAATCCCCCGTTTATCTGACTACAGAGAGGAATACATTGCATTTTGCTTGAAGGTCAAAGTTGAGAAACCAGTTTAAAAGGGTTGCCGTCAGCAATGTTGGCACAATTCCTGCAAACATGATCGTGTTTTGGTAACGTGGAAATGTCACAGTGCAAAGAGGCTTTTTGTCTGAGGTTTGCAGGGATTTCTCCAGATGTTAGAATTTCTCTGGCTCAGTCTTTTGTGTGACCATTTTGTCAAATTACTTAAGTTATTTTCTCTCTCACACCCAGCCTCCCAGAAGCTGCAAACAAGTACACTTTTTTTTAATAAAACCTAAAAGTGAGGCATTAAAGTTGAAATAAATGCAGTTGCACTATAAATCACAAAGAAAATAACTACAGGTTCATACATATCTATTAAGCTTCCTCTCTCTGATTCTATCTTAAACTCTGCCAATTTTAAAGCACTGCATTGTAAAAGCAAAGTAATAAAACAGAGTGTAAGGCAAAGACCTCCCCATTCCAACCGCCCACTCACCTATTATTTTGTTATATTGCTTGGGAAAACTCAGCTGTAATAGAACATCTTTTAATACAGTCAAATCTATTTTATGCTCTACTACAGCATAAAATGACTCACTGAAATATCTTAAGTGCTAAAGAAATAATGACAGTCACATAGGCTGGTGTTCATCTTCAAACTTACTCTATTCAGAAGCTGAATAAAAGCAAGATGAGATTTCAGCGCCTGTCATCACAACGGCATTTTATTGTATATTTAAGTACAGCTTTGATATATCTATATATCTAAATCTATATCTATATATTGTACAAGCCCCATACAGAGACAGGGACAGATAGTGGGTCACCCATCCCGATCAATCTCCTGCAGGCTTCCCATTGATACTATTTCCCTGCAGGTACTCGGGTACTGGTATGGTGGAGGTGAAAAATATCACTAACAATGAGGTGGCCAGCCAAGGGCAGAATGCTGAACGCACTGGCTGAGTGGCAGAAGCATCCTACCTTTCCGTTCGGACAGGCTAGGCAGCAAACAGCAGGATGGCCTGCTGGCAGGGGCTGCAAAGGGAGGAGCAATGTGGCAATCAAGGGAGAGGGGTGTCCGTCATGTATCTCATGCAAGATCTGAAGAAAGCTCAAAGACGACCAAATAAAGGTGAAGGAAAATGCGGGCAGTGTGTGTGATCAGATGGGGAAAGGAGGGCCGCACAGGGCTGCCTGGGAAAGAGCCAAATGAAACTCACCGACTTTGTAGTGCACGCAGCCCTCCAGGTCTCCCACGGACATCCAGCCTTGCCGCTTCTCCACCTCCGGGTCATTGCGCAAGATCTTGTTCCTCAGCCAGGATAAATAATACACCCTCAGCTTATTCTTTTTCCCTGATGTGTGCAGACCGGAAAAAGAGGCATTCAGAGGGTTAATTCAGAGCAGTGCCGAGCCTCCGGTAGCCAGGCTCTGGGATTGTTAGGACTTGTGTCATTTCAGCTAAGTCGTGTGAGAAATGAGGCCAGCAGCGCAGGAGAGGAGACCCCCTTGCGGTGTCCATATCCCCTATAGGACTGTGCACTGGTTGTAGGGTGGCCCTTGCGCACCTGGGTTTGTTTTTCCCTCTCCCCCATTTTCATACTTCACAAAAAGATTTTGATGGATACAGGGGAGGGGGTCACTTGATGGTTCCCTGTTTCTGTTCTCTCCCCCTGGGACACCTGGTATTGGCCACTGTCGGCAGACAGGACACTGGGCTAGATGGACCTTTGGCCTGACCCTGCATGGCCGGTCTTATGTTTTCCCGTACACCCACAGAATGGCTGCCCCTGAACCCAGGCAGGATGGGAGAGGAGAACACCTGCCACCTGCCACGCCAATCTGGCTGGAAAAGCCATTCTGGATGGGAGAGCTTCTTCAGTTCCAATTAACTGTCAGTTGTCATTATAGGCACCTATTTCTTTTTTGGGGGGAGGGGCATTCCACCAGGCCTGGAGGGGCCAAGGTGACGAAGGTTGCACCTGATGGAGGCAAGAGGGAGCAGGCCGCTAACTGGAAATGGGCTCAGCTGGGCAGAAACAAGAGAGGCCTGTACAAGGCCCAGAGGCTGAGTGCAGCAAGGGGCTAGAAGGAAGTAGTTTACAGCCACTGCCTGGGAAGAGGGAGGTTTGACTGGCAAACCCAGAAAGAGAAGGAAGCCAGATAAGCAGGAAGAAGCCCAGGGAAACAGCAGCAGAGGGGTAGGATCCCTTAGCATAGGAGGCTTGGCTTGGGACCTGGTGGAGGCAGAGGGCTTAGGTTCCCCTAGCAGCGTGTTGGTCACCCCAGATGGACAGTTGGTCCGGAAGGACTTGGATTTCCCTGGAAGGGGAGGAACTTAGTGACCTGGCTGGAGGGCCAAGTCACAAACAGAAGCTGCTGTTCTGTGGGTGACAGACTGAGAGGGTCTGCACGGTCAAAGAGGTGATGGGTAGATACACTGCCAGAGGAGGGTAGTGCCAAGAGCGAATCCCCTAGAGCCACCGGGAGAGGCTGCCAGCAGTGAACAAACTCCATAACTGGGAGGTTTTTACTTCATCATTCCCTATCTCAGGAAGTCTCTTACATGTTGGCTGTGTCTACACTGGCCCCTTTTCCGAAAGGGGCATGCTAATTTTAAACTTCGTAATAGGGAAATCCGCGGGGGATTTAAATATCCCCTGCGGGATTTAAATAAAGATGTCCGCCGCTTTTTTCCGGCTTGTAGAAAAGCCGGAAAAGAGCGTCTAGACTGGCCCGATCCTCCGGAATAAAGCCCTTTTCCGGAGGATCTCTTATTCCTACCTTCAGGAATAAGGAATAAGAGATCCTTCAGGTAGGAATAAGAGATCCTCCGGAAAAGGGCTTTATTCCGGAGGATCGGGCCAGTCTAGACGCTCTTTTCCGGCTTTTCTACAAGCCGGAAAAAAGCGGCGGACATCTTTATTTAAATCCCACGGGGGATATTTAAATCCCCCGCGGATTTCCCTATTACGAAGTTTAAAATTAGCATGCCCCTTTCGGAAAAGGGGCCAGTGTAGACACAGCCATTGTGTTTAGACCGATAGAAGGCAATAGCAACCTAGATTCAAGAAAAAGGCTCATGTGGAAAGTCAGACCAAGAGAAGCTGGGAAACACAGGTGTCGGCTATGCCCAATGCATGGTGTCCAGCTTATGTATAAACACAAGGCATTCAAATTGCCCCATCAAAGGCCTGATCCTGTGAGATTCTGAGCATCCTCAGCTGCCCCGACCATCCATGAGGGTGGACTCTTGCAGAGGGGACTGCACATGATTGGTTTTCCCTCTCGTGAGCCACGAAGTGATGAGATTTAACGATGTTTTTAATGGGAATCTGCTTAGAGTGATGCTCAGATGTTGTATAAACAATTAACCACATGCAAACGACCTAGCAACAACAAAATGATGGGAACCGGTCCGTTTTAATGATCCAATACGCTTTTATATCACCCACATTCATTTTACACATCAAGCATGGAATGATATACCCCAGGTCACCTCTGAATCTGGAATGAGAATGCAAATATTGAAGATCCAAAAATTACTTTCCTATTAACTAAAATAATTGTCCTGCTGCATCCTACAAGAGGAAAGTCTATAGCCTAATTCATAACCTAATTCTTCTTTATAATTGCTTCCAGCCCGACAGTGAGGTCAGGCACTTTTAAAAGGCTGAACCAACCTGATACGGTAATTAGCACATTGAGTCCTTCCAGAACATCCATTTGCTGGAATCGTCTCCTTGTGATCAGCGAGTAAACCCTTCCTTGTCCACTTCGATCCAGCAGCCACAGCCCATTCTCTGTCCCCACCAGTAAATTCACTCCTGTTAATACATAAACACCGCTGTAAATCTTCTACTGAATCACAGCCCGTTTCCGCGTTCCTTGCTTTTCTACAATGGATTCTGCTTTGGACTTTCTTAACTGGCTCGAGACATCTTTGCTGACACTATGGAGATGCTCTCTTGAAAAGTGAATTACAAAATTCTCATCACTTCTAAATACAACACGACCTCAAATTCCAGCAAAGCACTTAGATACACACAGAGCTGGTCCTAACCAACTGGCGGCCCTGGGGGAGGGAGCTGGGGAGTAACCAGGGAAACCTGGGGGGAGGATTTGGGAGGTCGGGCTGAAATGCGGTCGCAACCCACCCTTCTGTCGGAGGCCCCTTGAAAATGGTGGCCCCGGGTGACCACTTGGCTCGCCCACCCCTAAGACCAACTCTGGGTACACATTCACTTTAAGCATGAGCAGTCCCATTGGATTCAGCATGGATCGAAATGACCAGGGAAATGCTTTTTTGAATTCAAACTGAATGTAGAATTGAATATCACAACACCTCCAACTCCGCTAATGTTCCCTGTGTTACGTAAGAGGTCAGACAGTCAAACTAGACAATCTAATGGTCCCTTTCCGTCCTTAAAACCTCTGAACCCCCTCCAGTCTCAAATGCAGTGAGGGCTAACAGTCCCAAACACGGGGCACAACAGAAAGGAACAAATGATGCTAGGAAGCGGATTGTTCAGGAGTGACATTTTCCGAGTTTCATCAAGACGCTTTCGAATGCCAAATTAATGGAGTGAATCCATCTGAAATCTACTTATTCCCAATGAAGTGAAAGCTCCAGTGGGTTGCTGACATGAACTGGCACCCACGGGATGGCGATTTAGTTTGGCTGGCATGATTGGTTGGATTCCTAATCAGTATGTTGTAGTGGAAATAAAGTGGCAGAAGGTATCAGACTGCATAAACCCATCGCTTATACTGGCAATGCTCTGACAAGGACCTGGCATTGTTCAGTCTCAGTGTACATACAATTACAGACTTTGCTAAGCTGCTCTGTTCTTCATTTAAAATCTTGGCTTCCTTTGAACATACATTACACAAAACTGAAGCTGTAAGCTGGGAATCTGCATTTCCTTTGGATAATGTTTCCCCTGCTTTATTCATTTATTTTGTTTTTCATCCGAGACTCAAATGGACTGCAGGTAAATATTGTGTCAGCTCTATAGAGCTCATCTCCCTGCTTCTTATAAAACAGATGGATGATTAAACCAGTTCCAGAGCTAAGACACCAAGGGTGTGTCTAGACTACATGCCTCCGTCGACAGAGGCATGTAGATTAGACAGATCGGCAGAGGGAAATGAAGCCGCGATTAAAATAATCGCGGCTTCATTTCCCTCTGCCGATCTGTCTAATCTACATGCCTCCGTCGACAGAGGCATGTAGATTAGACAGATCGGCAGAGGGAAATGAAGCCGCGATTAAAATAATCGCGGCTTCATTTCCCTCTGCCGATCTGTCTAATCTACATGCCTCCGTCGACAGAGGCATGTAGATTAGACAGATCGGCAGAGGGAAATGAAGCCGCGATTAAAATAATCGCGGCTTCATTTCCCTCTGCCGATCTGTCTAATCTACATGCCTCCGTCGACAGAGGCATGTAGATTAGACAGATCGGCAGAGGGAAATGAAGCCGCGATTAAAATAATCGCGGCTTCATTTCCCTCTGCCGATCTGTCTAATCTACATGCCTCCGTCGACAGAGGCATGTAGTTTAGACGTACCCCAAGAAATGGGACCACGCCCACAAAGGGGCTAAACCGGAGTAGCTCCATGGGGGTCACTGCTAGGGATGTCAGCAGATAGTCGAGTACGCAATTTATTGGTTAATCTTATTGACCACACACACACCCCTTGCTGCCTCTGTATCAGAGGCAGCAAGTGGGGAGGGAGGAGCCGGTGTCCGTAAGGAGATGGCTTTAAGCAGGCTCCCCCCAAGCACTGGATCTGCCTGCCCCTCTCCACTGCTGCCTCTGATAGAGAGGCAGCAGCATGGAGAGTGAATGGGGCAGGCGGGAGCCAATACATGCAGAGAACAGGCTTTCAAGGTAGCTCCCTGCACGTATTGGCTCCCACAGACCCGCCTGCCCCTCCTTGCTGCCTTCTACAGAGGCAGCAAGGGGGGCAAGGAGGAGCCGGTGCTGGGGTGAGCCAGTTTAAAAGCCGGTTCCCCCAGCACCAGCTCCACGGTGTTGCCTCCCCCTTGCTCTTGCCTCTATGAGAAGCACCAGCGGAAGGCGGGGGACGGGGTGGGGCAGGAGACACTG